GTCGCTTGCCTCCGGAGACTAGCATCTTTACAGCGGAACTTTATGCTATTCTCTATGCTCTTCGTCTCCTGCTTTCTCGTTGTCAGTCTTCCTTTGTAGTTGTTGTTGACTCTCGTAGTGCCCTCATGGCTCTCGGGTCCTTTAATCCGGTTCATCCAGTAGTTGTCGAGATCCAGCATTGGCTGTTTCTTGTTCACAGTAAATTTAAGTCGGTTGAGTTTTGTTGGGTTCCCAGCCATATTGGTGTGTCTTTAAATGAGCGTGCGGATGCTGCCGCCAGGGAAGCTGTCCGCTCTTGTCCCATCTCTCGTAAGGCATTCCGTATTCCGACTTTTACCCGGTTATCCATTCCTCAGTCCTTACCCGTTGGCAGGCTTCTTGGTTGTCTGTTACTGGTAACAAACTACGTACTCTTAAATGTTGTGTTTCCTCGTGGCCGTCCTCCTTCCACCGTAACCGGCGGTGGGAAACAGCTCTGGCGAGGTTGCGTATTGGCCATACTCGCTTAACCCATGGTCACTTGATGGAGCGCCGCCCTGCTCCTTATTGTCCTAGTTGCATTGTCCCTCTTACGGTCGTGCATGTCCTTCTTGAATGTCCTGACTTCCAGGACGAACGTGTGTCTTGCTTTCCGACCGCCCCTCGCGGTCACCTGTCCCTCAATAGAATTCTTGGTGACTCGGATACTTTTGATATCGTTCGCCTTATGCGTTTTTGTTCTCGTATTGGCATCCTTGGTGATATTTAGCGCCCTCTGATTATTCCGCACATTTGATGGTGCTACACAGCCTTCCCGGTTTGGTGCCTTCTTTTGATAATTACTTACTTTCTTGTCATCTGTGAAAGTTCCATCACTCGCGCAAGGTCCCAATGCTGAATGCAGTTTTTGTTCTTGTTTTTGCATACGATTTTAGTGATTGAAGGGAATTTATTGATATTAAAATATTGATATGTTTACGTAGGCATTTTTAATATTGTAAATGGTACTTAGAAATATATTGTTTTGGCATGCGTGCGTGCGTGCGTGCGTGCGTGTTAGTGTGTGAATTTGCTATTTCTGCTTGCGGGGTCGAGCTGTTAGCGCTTGGTCCCCGCCTTTCTAACTCTCCATTGTCTAATGTACAAACTCTCCGCCTATATTTTCTTTCCTCATACCTTCTATATATTTTTCTCACACACTTCCGGAGAAAGTAGCCCGTAACAGCAGTCTAACTACCAGATACCTGTTCAGTGATAGGTAAACAGAGGCATCATGTGAAAGAAGGTACCCATTTGTTTCAATCTCGACTGCGAATTGAACCCGGGCCCTTTCGACAACGACCCTCCCCCCCCCCCCAGCGCTGTCCGCGTGTGTACGCGTGTTTACACATACGTGCGTGCGTGCGTGTGTGAGTGCGTTTGAAAAATGATATTTGACATTTGTAGGTGTTGTCCAGGTTACGGCACGACGCAAAATATTGAATTAAATTCGCAGCTGTGGCAGTGTGTCTTCGGGGCCAATATTGGCCGGGTCTGGTGGGTGGAGGGCCCCAAAGGTGTATGGCCGGTGTCTACACATCCCTCTCTCCAAAAATCCAGTGGAATGGATTTAACAGTGGAATCCATTCCACTGTAATACAGTTTAGTGATTCAAATTGAAGTTGAAATAAGTTTATTGAGGTATAAATACACAAAAAGGGATGAGGTAGTTCAAGCTATTCTCACCCCGTTCAGTACAACGTGTTTATATATATTTATATATATATATATATATATATATATATATATATATATTGTTGTTGAACAACATATATATGTTGTTGAATATGATCGAAAAAGGTAAGGTTAATAATTCTAACACGAATTTTCTCAATATTTCTTATGTTTTTCTTCACTGTCGAGGGTAATGGAAATATGTCGTCCTATTGGACGACATACTCGACCTCGAGACGCAAAAGAAGGTTACCACTAAAGACACCTTGCCAGCAGAACTTATTGCTGAAGGAGGAAAGATTCGAGGTAACTACAGAAGCACCATACTGTCCCCCGAGCTCAATGCGGCAGCTAAGAGCCTTCGTGACAACAAGGAGATAGTCGTCAGGAGAGGTGATAAGTCGCCAATATACGTTATTCTTAAAAAAGACGAATATCTGGCAAAAATGAACCTCATACTCTCTGACTAAATTCCAAAGGGTAAAGAAGGTCACTACAGCCGAATTGAAAACGAAGGTAAACAGATTGATCGAAACTGTGAACGCCAAGAAATCCGGACTCCTCCTGCGAATGGTTATTGGGGAATACAAACCTGGTTATGCATATGGAAATGTCAAGACTCACAAGCCTGGAAACCCACTTCGGCCAATCACCAGCCAGATACCCACACTCACGTACAGACTGGCTAAGCGACTCAACGGCTTGCTGACTCCTTACCTTGTACCTTCAGCCTGAAGTCTCCAAAGGAATTCGTCGACTTGCTGCAGAGAGCACGGGCCACAGGGATAAGAGCTTCTTTGGATGTAGAGTCTCTGTTTACCAACGTAGCTGTGGATGAAACAATCTGACTGATAATGGACAGAGTATATTGTGATCCGGCTAGTACCCGTTGTGACATACCAGAAAACATACTAAAGAGGCACCCTTCTTGAGCCCAGATGGGCACATGTACAAGCAAGTACATGGGTTCTCCCCTAGGTGTCCTATTTGCGAACTTCAACATGGGTACCATAGAACAGAAGGTCTTAGTTGACATGGACTTGAAACCCGCCGTATACTGCAGGTATGTTGACGACATTTTTATGCAGGTACCTGATGTCAGACATCTGCAGGAGCTGAAGGAGGCATTCGAGCAGAATTCTGTGTTGAGTTTCACTTACGAGATAGATAATGATGGGAAGCTGCCCTTTCTAGATGTAATAGTCACGGAAAGGAGCGGAGGCTTCCACACTGCAGTCTACACTATGGAAACGAACGTAGGAATGTGCCTCAATGCCAGTAATGACTGCCCAGACAGGTACAAGAGGAATGTTGTCAACGCTTACGTCGACCGTGCTCTCAGCCACAGCTCAGGATGGAAGCAAGTCGATGAAGAACTCTGTAGGGTAAGGCAGGTCCTAGTCAACAACGGCTTCTCTAATGGTTTTGTTGAAGACATCATAAAAAGAAAGGTGAAACGCCATGCAACCTCTGAAGAGTCAACCAACACAACACATGTACCCCCCTATTAGACTATTTTACAGGAACTTCTTTTCAACGGCTCATAAAACGGAGGAAAGGGTCCTGAAAAATATTGTTGATAGGAACGTTATCCCTACAGACAAAAATCAGAAAATACAATTGACAATTTACTATAAAACTAAAAAAACGGCCAACCTACTCATGAAAAACTCTCCAGACACCAAGCAGAATGCCTTTAAGGAAACCAACGTCGTCTATGCCTTCAAATGCCCACTTGGGGACTGTGAGCCTCAAAGACCTCAGTATATAGGCAAGACAACAACATCTCTTTCCAGGCGATTAACAGTGCATAAGCAACAGGGCTCCATTAAGGAACATATAATCTCTTCCCACAACCAGACCATCACCAGAGAAGTCTTAACAAACAACACAGAAATCATCGATAAATACAGCGATAGCAGGCGGCTTGACATCTGCGAGGCACTACCCATCAAGAAGTCAACACCAGCAATCAACAGCCAATTAATGCACTACTATATTCTACCCACTTCAAGACTCCGCATCTATATAGAAGCATCAAGAAATATGGGCCAATAGGCCCCTTGCAGTTACTTCCATTCTTCCCTATAATGTATCCAATTTATACCCATTGCACCATGTTCTGTCTTGTGTTGAAAGTTTGCTCTGGCTTGTGTTGAAAATTTTGTTCACCTCATCCAGAACTGTTGTAACATATCACCTCACCCAGAAGCGTGTATATAAGACAAAAGCTGTTTAAATGATTGCATAGTAGAACTCTGTTTAGTGTTTGCAGGTTATAGTTGTGTGTGTGTAAACTAAAGTCTTTGAAATGTAATAAGTTATTACGAAACGCGTTCAAGTGTCGCGTCAGACTAAAAAATAAAAATGAATTTTGGAGAATTGATTTTTCAATTACCATCGACAGTAAAAAGAAACATAAGAAATATTGAGAAAATTCGTGTTAGAATTATTAATCTTACTTTTTCGGTCATATTTAATAACATATGTTTACAAGAAAGACCGCTACCAAAATATACTAATATATTTTATATATATATATATATATATATATATATATATATATATATATATATATATATGTGTGTGTGTGTGCAGAAAATCCACAGAGAGATGGGAAAGAGAGATGAACGTTTCGGCCGATCTGGGCCTTTGTCAACACCGGACTCAACTCAGTCCGGTGTTGACAAAGGCCCAGATCGGCCGAAACGTTCATCTCTCCCATTTCTCTGTGGATTTTCCGCATACAAATGATCAGTGTTTAGTGATCGTCAATTGCACACACACACACACACACACAATATATATATATATATACACACACACACACACATCACAAACAATAAACATATTACTGAACATTCTGAGTGATTAACATATACATTTCTTCCTTTACACATGCAGTATGTTACCAGACGTAAACACACAAATACTTTTATGACCAGGTACACACAGTTTACAGTAGACATTCAGACAGTTCAACAAAGTTACAGTCGGTGTAAAATTCTTATCTCTCTCGTCAGAATATCATCAATCTTTCCGTTGTGATCCATCCAGGCTATTTGTTCAGGAACAGTCCTTATCTCAGTGTTTCTATATTCATTAATCAAGGGACAATTAAGAACATAATGGGTGAGGGTGTGAGACCTTAACATACCACATAGTTTACACTTGGTGTCATTAACAACAGTACCATATTGCCAGTAATAATTGTACCCAAGCCTGAAGTTTAGTGATTAACCATAATATTGCTAACTTATGAAATATTTTTCTCGTAATTAACTGTTGACTTTGTTGTGTTGCAGGGAGCATAAGATGGTGTGGTAACGCCGCCCAAGAGTGAACTCGTGGGAACCCTACCGTGGTTGTGGCGATGGCTGGAGCTGACAGTGGGGGTATGGGCGGCGGGGGGCGCTCCCTGGGCGGCGGGGGCGGCGGTCCAGGCGAGGGCGGCGGCGTCAGAACCCCGCCCACCACACCCAAGAAGGTCGGCGGCAAAATGCTGGCGGTGAAGATACTGATGCTGGACGACACCTACACACTCTTTCAGATACAGGTGAGTGTGGCAGGCTTGTGTGGGTCAGTGTAGCGGTCTTTCTTGTACAGGTCAGTGTAGCGGTCTTTCCTGTACAGGTTAGTGTAGCGTTCTTTCCTGTACAGGTTAGTGTAGCGTTCTTTCCTGTACAGGTCAGTGTAGCGTTCTTTCCTGTACAGGTCAGTGTAGCGGTCTTTCCTGTACAGGTCAGTGTAGCGGTCTTTCCTGTACAGGTCAGTGTAGCGGTCTTTCCTGTACAGGTCAGTGTAGCGTTCTTTCCTGTACAGGTCAGTGTAGCGGTCTTTCCTGTACAGGTCAGTGTAGCGGTCTTTCCTGTACAGGTCAGTGTAGCGGTCTTTCCTGTACAGGTCAGTGTAGCGGTCTTTCCTGTACAGGTCAGTGTAGCGGTCTTTCCTGTACAGGTCAGTGTAGCGGTCTTTCCTGTACAGGTTAGTGTAGCGGTCTTACACAGGTCTACCTTGTGAAGGTTCCGGAGATCAACGTCCCTGCGGCCCGGTCCTCGACCAAGCCTCCTGGTTGATGGACTGGTCAACCCGACTGTTGGACGCGGCTGCTCGCAGCCTGACGTATGAGTCACAGCCTGGTTGATCAGGTATCCTTTGGAGGTGTTTATCCAGTTCTCTCTTGAACACTGTGAGGGGTCGGCCAGTTATGTCCCTTATGTGTAGTGGAAGCGTGTTGAACAGTCTCGGGCCTCTGATGTTGATAGTTCTCTCTTGAACACTGTGAGGGGTCGGCCAGTTATGTCCCTTATGTGTAGTGGAAGCGTGTTGAACAGTCTCGGGCCTCTGATGTTGATAGTTCTCTCTTGAACACTGTGAGGGGTCGGCCAGTTATGTCCCTTATGTGTAGTGGAAGCGTGTTGAACAGTCTCGGGCCTCTGATGTTGATAGTTCTCTCTTGAACACTGTGAGGGGTCAGCCAGTTATGTCCCTTATGTGTAGTGGAAGCGTGTTGAACAGTCTCGGGCCTCTGATGTTGATAGTTCTCTCTTGAACACTGTGAGGGGTCAGCCAGTTATGTCCCTTATGTGTAGTGGAAGCGTGTTGAACAGTCTCGGGCCTCTGATGTTGATAGTTCTCTCTTGAACACTGTGAGGGGACGGCCAGTTATGCCCCTTATGTGTAGTGGAAGCGTGTTGAACAGTCTCGGGCCTCTGATGTTGATAGTTCTCTCTTGAACACTGTGAGGGGTCGGCCAGTTATGCCCCTTATGTGTAGTGGAAGCGTGTTGAACAGTCTCGGGCCTCTGATGTTGATAGTTCTCTCTTGAACACTGTGAGGGGTCGGCCAGTTATGTCCCTTATGTGTAGTGGAAGCGTGTTGAACAGTCTCGGGCCTCTGATGTTGATAGTTCTCTCTTGAACACTGTGAGGGGTCGGCCAGTTATGCCCCTTATGTGTAGTGGAAGCGTGTTGAACAGTCTCGGGCCTCTGATGTTGATAGTTCTCTCTCTGAGTACCTGTTGCACCTCTGCTCTTCAACGGGGGTATTCTGCACATCCTGCCATGCCTCCTGGTCTCATGTGATGTTATTTCTGTGTGCAGGTTTGGGACCAGCCCCTCTAATATTTTCCACGTGTAAATTATTATGTATCTCTCCCGCCTGCGCTCAAGGGAATACAAAATTTGGGCTTCTAATCGATCCCAATAATTTAGATACCAGTGTGATGCCACCACAATAAACAATATAATAATTGAAGACCACGACCGCTTCTTTATGAATGATAGGGTCGAATGAAGGAGCTCCCAGGGACAGTCGGGTCTGGTGGGTGGAGGACCCCAGGGTCGGCGGGCCTCCTTCCGCCTGGTCCTCCTTTGAGGATCGGGCCGCGGGGACGCTTAACCCCGAAATCATCGCAAGGTAACCGCAAGGTATGATATCCAAACCGAGGATAATATAACGGATATTAACACGAGCGCGGAAGACTTTGAAAGATAAATAGAGAACATGCCCATACACTCAGCCCCTGGTCCTCACTCGTGAAATTCAATATTCATAAAGAAATATAAAGTACCAGTAGCGAGAGCACTCAGCGTAATATGGAGAAAGAGCCTGGATACAGGGGAGGTACCAGCAGCACTTAAATCTGCAGATGTAGCTCCTCTGCACAAGGGGGAGGTGGTAAAGCTTTGCCAAAACACTGTAGACCAGTTACACTTACCTCACACATAATAAGTGTTTGAAAGATTGACTTGGAATCAAATCAATTTTATGAAAAACAATGAACTTCACAACCCTGGTCAACGTGGATTTAGAGCGCGAAGTTTCTGTATTTCACAGTTACTCAACCACTATGAACAAATCACAGAAGCATTAAAATAAATGCAAAATGCAAATATTGTATACACAGACTCTGCAAAGGTATTCGACAAATGTGACCATGGAGTGATAGCACATAAAATTATATCAACAGGAATAATGGGTAAAGTTGGGCGTTGGATTTTCAATTTTCTGTCGAACAGAATGCAGAGAATGATGTCAAATCATGACGGTCAGTCAAATAAGATCAAGCCCAAGTGTAGTGAAAAGCTCTGTACCCCGGGGCACAGTCCTCGAGTACTGCTCTTTGTCATTCTGATCTCGGATATAGAAAAAAATGCTAGGCACAGCTTCGTGTTATCCTTTGCAGATGATACAAAAATCAACATTAAATACTCCTCTGTAAAAGACACTGAAAATCTACATACGATATTAATAAAGTCTTCGATTAGGCAACTGAAAATAAAATGATGTTTAACGGTGATAAGTTCCAGGTACTGAGGTATGGTGTAAACGAGGAATTTAAACGACACACAGGGTACAGGACACAGGGTAAAGGACACAGGGTACAGGACACAGGGTACAGGACACAGGGTACAGGACACAGGGTACAGGACACAGGGTAAAGGACACAGGGCACAGGACACAGGGTACAGGACACAGGGTACAGGACACAGGGTACAGGACACAGGGTACAGGACACAGGGTACAGGACACAGGGTACAGGACACAATCATAACTACTCATAGAAGGAAAGCAACATGTATAAGATCTGGGAATTATGATGTCTGACGACCTGACATTTAGTGAACATAACCGAGCAAATATAGCGGCGGCGGCCAGGACAATGATAGGATGGATTATGAGAACGTTCACATCCAGAGACCCCACAGTAATGTTAATACTATTTAAATCACTGGTGCTGTCCCGTCTTGAGTATTGCTCGGTACTCACTTCCCCCTTCAGAGCGGGAGAGATCTCTGAATTAGAGGGAATACAGAGAACATATACGGCACGCATAGACGAGATAAAGCACCTAAATTATTGGGATCGTCTCAAAGCTCTCCAAATGTACTCACTAGAAAGGAGACGAGAGAGATAACAAATAATATATACATAGAAGAAACTGGAGGGCCAGGTCCCAAATTTATACAGTACAATAACATACTGGAGCGAAAGATATGGAAAGAAATGCAGAATAAAACTAGTGAAGAGTAGAGGTGTCATAGGCACAATCAGAGAACATTGTCTGAAGAACTCCCAGAACTCTCTCCAGATATGCTGCAGGGCGGGGACAGTCAGCGGGGCGGGGACAGTAGGCAAGGTCTGGCACTGGGCAGGATGGTAGCGGTAGCCCTGAAGGTGTCTCGGGTGTGGTGGTGCCAGCTCTAGTTACTTGTTGGATAAGTGGCACTCAACCCCCCCCCCCCCCCTCCCCAGAGTCGACACGCCCTTCCCCGTCTTCCTCCTCCCTCACTCACCCCACTCTACCTCCACCCTCACCCATTCTGCCTCCACCCTCCCCCATTCTGCCTCCTTCCTCCCCCATTCTTCCTCCTCCCTCCCTCACTCTCACACCAGTAACTCATCTGCGTTTCTCACTTTAGTTTTACAATTTTTTCCCTTATTTCGAAATTTGTGAGATGTCAATATGATAGGATTTACCGGAAAAAATAGGCAGATGGGTCTTCAATTTCGTGACTAACAGAACCCAGTGTATCACATCCAAAAAATAGAATCCGGTTCATCAACCGCGTAGAGCTCAGTCCCCCAGGGTACTGTGCTTGCTCCAAAACTTTTTCTCACCCTCATATCGGACATAGACAAGGACACAATCTGTAGTATGGTGACTGGTGAGGGTGGTGGACGTGTGTGGTGACTGGTGAGGGTGGTGGACGTGTGTGGTGACTGGTGAGGGTGGTGGACGTGTGTGGTGACTGGTGAGGGTGGTGGACGTGTGTGGTGACTGGTGAGGGTGGTGGACGTGTGTGGTGACTGGTGAGGGTGGTGGACGTGTGTGGTGACTGGTGAGGGTGGTGGACGTGTGTGGTGACTGGTGAGGGTGGTGGACGTGTGTGGTGACTGGTGAGGGTGGTGGACGTGTGTGGTGACTGGTGAGGGTGGTGGACGTGTGTGGTGACTGGTGAGGGTGGTGGACGTGTGTGGTGACTGGTGAGGGTGGTGGACGTGTGTGGTGACTGGTGAGGGTGGTGGACGTGTGTGGTGACTGGTGAGGGTGGTGGACGTGTGTGGTGACTGGTGAGGGTGGTGGGCGTGTGTGGTGACCGGTGAGGGTGGTGGGCGTGTGTGGTGACTGGTGAGGGTGGTGGACGTGTGTGGTGACTGGTGAGGGTGGTGGACGTGTGTGGTGACTGGTGAGGGTGGTGGGCGTGTGTGGTGACTGGTGAGGGTGGTGGACGTGTGTGGTGACTGGTGAGGGTGGTGGACGTGTGTGGTGACTGGTGAGGGTGGTGGGCGTGCGGGACTGGCCGCCCACGTGCTGATAAAGACTTTCATCAGTGTTGACTAAGTCTGTTGAAGTGATGCCGGACGTTCCTTTAGAATTCCATACTGTTGCCCCACTCACACCCCCCCCCCCCCCCCCCCCCCCCCCCCACACACATTCCTCTCTGTGTTTGTCCACGATGAAACAAATTAGAGGACTATATCAGAGGATGATAATTGAGTACAAAATGGTATGAACAAACTAAAGGAATGGTCCAACAGATGGCCATTAAG